TATAGAATAGGTGGGCAATATAAGAAATAAGCTTCGCTAATGATTAGTAATCATTAATTTTTAATAGCGGAGTTGCGAAGTTTGCGGAGTTTGCCCACCTATTCTATAGAACATCCTTTTAAAATTTTACTAAATAATTTAAATTTAATATTTTAAATAAACTTGTTCAATACCAAAAAATATCAAATTCTAGCTAGTTTGCAAACTTCAGATCAAACCAAATCAAACTAAAAAGTTTAAAGCATTAAAGTTTTGATTTAAAAATCAAACCAAACTCAAATTTGATTTGAGTTTGATTTGTAGAAACCCTACTATACTAATATTTAAATTAATTAAAACCTAAATATTTTTTATTTTAAAATTTATATCAATTTAAAAATATACAGTATATAGTTTAAATTTTCACATATATATATATAATATACAGTATAATAACATTTAGTTTATTAATAAAATTATAAATTGTATGGATTAAATTTGGCTGCATTTTTATTGGTTTATGTTACACTGCAACTAAAAAAATTGGTAGTTATATATAAAACTTGTGGATATCCACTATAGTAATTTATGTTTCTTTTTTTATAATTTTACGTACAGTATATATGAAAAATTTACATGTGATAATTATGAAAAAATCGTATAACAGATAATGGCAATAATTTGAAACTAGATTAAATTTTGCCCAGTAAAAAACGTACATTCATGCGCTTTTTTTGATCGGCGCAGTTAATTTCAATCTTGTTAATGGTCTCTGCAGTTTTCTCGGCATCATGAACGTATTGGGTTTAACATCACTAATGGATAATGGATAAATGATTATAAATAAAATGAAACGTAATAAAAATGAATATAAAATATTATTGAATAAATTTTAAGTAACCTCTGGACAAATGATACAGAATCGACAGCCGATTTATCATCTCCCGTTCGTACTGTTGCCGTCCTAAAAAACCGCAGATAAAGTTTGTCAATTCTTGAAATTTAAAATATTACATTCATAGATTATAAAATATACACATACTTGTCCTTTTTTGCTTTAGTTTCTTTATTATTAGGCTCACCAAATGTGGATTTTTGCCCATTGCCCCGATTATTATTGCTAAGTGACACATTTAATATACACTCTTTAAATTCCGTATTATGTAGGGCAAGTGCGGCTTTTGCATGCTCCTGTAAATCCATTGTTGAAAAAAATCAGGAATAAAAAAAAAAATAATTTTTTTTTAAAAAAAGAGTTACGAAGCAAACCTCGCTGTCAAACTCGACAAATGCTATTCCTCTACATTTCTTATCCTTAGTTGTAGGAATTCTAACATCAATAACAGATCCATGCTATAAAATTATAAACATTAAAGATCTGTATTTAGTGTCATTGTGACAAACGGGAAAGACAAGAAATTTAATAAGATACTTAACAGTTTTGCAAAGTGTTTCCAATTCACTTCTTTCAACATGACTAGGAAGATTTCTAATATAAATCTCGTTTTGCCTACATAAGTATTAGAAATAAATAAAAACAAATAAACCATTGAATGTCAAAAAAACATTAATTTTCTTACTTTGGTGGAGAACGTGTTTTCCTTAATGAAGGATTAGAAATCACCACATTTAATTTCTTTCCTGTTTCGATCTCAAAACCATTCATTTCTAAAGCGGATAAAGCTGATTCCTAATTTAAATCAAAATATATATATGTATATATGTATATCTTAAAAATTTCTCAAAATATAAGTCAAGGATGATTTATGCTAAATATTTACCCGATTTTCGTACTCAATATAGCAAAATCTTCCTGTTCTAAGGTTTCTACTCGGATAACGAACGCTAATTATTTTTCCATACTGAATAAAAAATATGTTTAATACATTATTATATTCAACTTTAATTTACAAAAAAATCATAAGTTTATTCGTAAATTTAAATACCTTATCAAACATTTCTTCAAGATTAGCAGTCTCTGGGAAATTTGTAATGAATAATGTATGTTCTGTAATTTTATACACGTTAATTTCATTATCTCCGATCTTCTTCTTATCTTTTGTTAACGCAGCAAGAACATCATCCTATACGAATATTTTGTATTATTATACATTTTTAAACATACATCAATAAACCTATATCAATAAAGAATTATTTATTTACCCTTTTTGCGAATTCTATATGCGCGGATTTTTGTGCTTTTTCACTATCTTCAATTATATGAATATCAACAATTTTTCCGCACTATATAAAAACGACAGAATATTAATAGATTCAAGAAACTATAACACAAGTATTATAAAAAAAAAGAAAATATCAAGTATACCTCATTGAAAAGAGTTTTCAATTGACCCTCTGTAACATCTAATGGAAGGTTACTGGCAACAACTGTAGTAAACTCACGATCACTATATAATATGTAATGAGATTTGAGTCAATTGAGATAATGTGGTTACAACTACGTTCAACTTACCGCTTTGGTTTTTCAGGGTGTTGAGCTAAAGTTAAAAAAATAAGAGATTAATTAAAATTGATACAAATCAACACACATATACTCTAATAAAAAACAGTCGATGGACCTTTGTTTTTTTTGTAAGCTGGTGAGCCTTCTAGCTGGGGCTCATCCTCTTCGGGCTTTCTTTTTTTTGCATCATTACCTTGTTCTGAAATCTCAGGTTGCGATACTCTAGATGACTGGGAAACTTCAGCTTGTGTATTATCAAAGGTTGTTGGTACCTGGAATGCTTGTTCAGTGCCAACATTTTGAACCTCCAGTGTTGCATTCTAATAATAATAATAATAAATGAAGGATGCCATCACACCTTTAAATATCAGGAAAAACAACAGTATGCATATTTCTTACTTTTGCACGCCTATGTGCAACAACTTTCATTTGTTTTCTAATGAACATAAGTGCATTTTCTAAACTATCTAATGTTCCATATTGATGCTCAAATTGTTCCCATGCATCAAATATACGTTCTGGCCAATCAGAATTTTGTTGAGATGCTCTTTTGAATTTTTTGTGAATTTCATCATGATTTCCCATATATCTAAATATGTAAGTATGTAACGATCGTATATCTAATTTATTTGACTCATTAATATTTTACGCCCAAAAAAATTTGAAAGTACGCACCTTTCCCACTCAATATAACGTATCCACGTTTCAGATTCTTTGCCATGAGTTTTAACAATATTTTCCCAAACCTCTCTTGCTTTTGTAAGATTTTTATTCAATGTCTATACACGAATACATTTGAGAAACATATAACAAATAGTTTATAAATTTCATATTTAACTTAATCACTTTACCTCAATTTCTATCAAATATCTTTCTAAACGATAATTGGGGTCGCCACTTGGAAAGACTTGTATGAAAATTCATATTAAAA